CACCTGTGCTCCCCCGCCACCGCCTGCCTCCGTTCCAGGTTTTCCTATGCCGGCGCGCCTGCAAGTGAGCAGGCGTGCCAGCTCTCTGCTCCCCCACACTTTTTGGTTTGTCTACCTTCTCCCACATTCGTCCACTCCCGCTCTTTCTCCTTCCCCAGTTGCCTCCCCTGCATGCGCTTGCTGTTGCTGCCGTTGCCCCCAGCAACCTACCGCCCCTTCTAGTACGCCCCTCTCCCCTCACCCCCATTTATCCCCTCCCATGTAGCTCCCCGCCCTGTGCGCCGTGTGTAAGAACCCAGGCAACGCGTGACATGCAGGAGGACAGGGTGCCCTGTTGGGAGCAGGGTATGGCGGCATGACTCTGGTGGGCTCACCTGGGTGCTGCTGCTCGCTGCGGGTGAGAAGGTGTGGTGTGGGGCGACGGCGCCAGTAAGCTTTGCGGTGATGCAACACTGTGGGACGAGGACAGCGTGTGCGGGGGAGCGGCGCGGCAGCGCCACGCCCCCCTGCTGGCCCCCTTGTCCCTGCGTGCAACATACTGCTGCAGCCATTCTGCTTCCTGCACCAAAGTGCAGGCTTCTCCCAGGGTGCTAGGGGGCGGGTAGCGGCCTGGTGGGCGAGGGGAAGGAGGGCCTCAGACACGCACGGCGGGTGGCGCATGGGCGGCCACAGGCACACGGGCTGCAGGTGCTTGCGGCGCAGCTCCGGGCGCAACCATGTTCCAGCAGGCCCTCCAGAAGGCCATTTGAAGCAGCGCACTGGCCATCAAATCAGCCGGGAAAGTGCACTGGGCCCCCCAGACTGTAACCCGCCAACCCGCGCGCTCTGCCCCTCTTCAACTTCCCATTCTTTCATTCTGCACCCTTCTGCCCCTCACCCCTTGTCGTTTGTGAGCTCCGCCGTCAGCTGAGTTCAGGCGGGGCCAACACCGCGGCATCGACACTCCAGCCTCCCCCCGAGTGCCACCTCCCTCCTGCTGGATCTTCACAACGCAGCAGCAGGGCAGCCGGCGGCCAGTGGAGCAGCATGGCGAAGGCTTCCATTCTGGGCCTCGGGGCGCAGCGGTTGGGCCTGCTGACCTCGCAGGCGGAGATGCAGTGTTCGTTGGTGCCAGCCGACTATAAGTACCCGCAGCCCAGCCCAGCCCAGTTCCAACGCCTGGTGAAACAGCAGATGGGGGCGCCTCAGCCCGCGGGAGCCCAGCCAGCAGCAGGAGCACGAGGTGCAGCCGGCTTTGGAGGGGCAGGCGCGCTGCAAGGTGAGCATGGCAGCTGGCCGGCATCATGCAGGGGGCCCCGCCTTGCATCGGGGCCCGCGCCGCTGCTGCCCCCGGTTCGATCACAAACGGGCCTGGGCACTTTGGCCAGCCGAGCATGCCGGCCGGGGCCGCGCCGCGGGGCTTAGGGTTTCCCATCCAGGCCTTCCCCCTTGGGCCCCTCATGGCTCCCTCCCCCCAGCCCTTTTCGCGGGGGCTGGCAGCGGCTACGCCCCGCCTGCCTCTCCCTGGCCGCCCCGCCGCGCCAGCCGCCTGACGCGCCCGCGGTACTGCGCGCGCTGTCGCAGGCGCCGCGCCGAC